CACCGGATGTCGAGATATCGAGTTCCGAAGTGACAAATTCATTTTTGAAATTTCCGGTAATATATTGTAGGGGTGTAAGGTTCATCGTTCCTGTGAATTGATAGAGACCCTTAAAAAAATGAAAATGCGCACATTTCATATCGATATCCAATTGTGCGGTTTGCAATAAAGTCAACTCATTGTTCTCGATTAACAAATAGATTATAGCATTTTCTTCAAGGCAAGCAAAATAAACATACAACCCATCTTTTTGGACAGCTCTTTCAATAATTTGATTCTTGGAGCTGTCACTTTCAACTGTCCTATATGTTTTTACATTTAGTTTCCTCGTCAAAATTTTGATCGTCAGTCCTCACTCGAATATAGCCTTATTCACCTTCTACTAGAGCTTCTTTGCTATGACGGGTAAGAACGCGACATAGAGAGGGAGTGGGAGTAGAGTCTTGTAAATTAATGATAAATTACTGACAGTGATAAAGTACTAATGATATAAAATCAGTCTTTTGAATAATTATTCTTTTATTTAGTCTATTTTTAATTGTGAAAAATTTGTGCTGCGTACTTTGAACATCCACCAAATATGTATATGTATTGTTACGTGCTACTATCTTAAACGGTCAAAGAGGGGTTTTTACGCAACTGGGGTGAGAGCTAGACTGAATTATTTACGAGTAAAGGGTTTCTCTGGCGTTCTAAAGGCTTCCCGCGGCGACTTGTACACAAATCGACGTTGAAAAATGGTAAGGGAGCGAAAATAATAATACAATAAAAAAAGGGAATAATCCAAATCAATTTAATTAATATAACACAATAGGACTTATTGGTACGGTCTATTTAACAAAACAATTCAACGAAAAACAATTCAACAGTACTTATTGATACGGCCTGGACAAAGGAAAATTAAAATAACAATATCAAGAAATACAATCGCCGGCTTATTTAGAGTGGAGGAGCATCCACTACTTGTAACTGCTCACAAGATTTGAAGTTTGACCAGAAATAATAAAATAATAGTGTATTCACGAGTAATATTATTATTACAGGTAAGAACTTTGTTATTTTATTTGATCAAAGCATGTCTTTCACAGACTAATTATGGGATACTATACCAATTACTGCGCTAATTCTAAGGTTAGTATTTTCTTTGAGTGTGATTTTCTAGAAAAAATTGAAATAATAATCGTATGATTGTTCCTTTACTATAGATAATCGTCTTCTTCCAGATAATCAACACTGATCTGTTAAAATATTGACGAACGACGGTGAAGGTGAAAATTATTCGTCGATAATGCGATTGGCACGGAATAATTAGAATCATCGTGGGTGATCGCCGAAGAGTTTGGTAAGATTTTCATGCAGAAATTACTTGAACATTATTGCGGAATTAAAGGATTTATTGTTACTACGGTAACAGTATAACGATAACAAAAATGCGTCTTGCTGGATAATTGATGTGCCAGAAATTGGACATACTAACGCTAAATTATCCCATAACCACTGAGTAATTGAGCAACTAATCGACTAATTGTTCTAATCGATTATACAATAAACATACGTATTTCCACACGCGTTCACTATAATTATCTGCCAAGAATTAGCCGTCAGCATAACGAGCTATTATTCTGCTGGACGAATTCGAAAAGGTCAGAGACGAAAGATTAAAAATGATGCTTGGGAATTATCTGCTTTTCCTTTTGATTCTCAAAAGACCAAGAGAACCTTACTTGCATCGTTATAATATGTTTAGTTGTGTATAATTTTACAAACTATAAAAAGATTGTAATATTATAATGGTGTTTTGAATGTTTCGATATGAATCGTGTTGTCAAATGGCGTTTTTGGTCCTGTATAGTTGGCGCATTTGTCCATAAAGTCCACGAGTTGGACCATTTCTGCTATTCTCGTGTAACAAGTAAACAAAATTTGAAATAAATTTTTTGTTCATCCATTAAATTGGGTCCTACTTCGAGTGGAAGAACAATATGTTCTATACTCCGGACTCGATAAAATGGATAACATGTTTGATAAATAAATAAATAAAAACTGAAATAAAAAAGTACTTAATTAGAAATGAATACTAACCATGAGCTTGTAAAATAAACTGGCTAATTTCCGATTGAAACGATGAATCGTCAAATTCGTTTTTATAATTTAAATATATGGTCATAGACGTTTTTGCCAGTTTCATTAACCGAATTCGGTCATCCACTATGTGTTGATAATCTTTTCGCCAAAAAAAATTTCATATCTAAATCGTTTATTGTTAAATATTTGAACACTAGGAAAATATAAATAAAAGTCACCTTTTTTAAATAGATTCCTATATGAGGATATTACTTTGCCGGTGTCCCTATAGTATGCCAAAAAAAGTGAGATTACTGTTATCTTAAAATTTTGATATGTAAAAATTCATATCGGTATGCAAAAACTCACCATTGATAATTTAATAGTTCAATATCATGTGTTAGAAATTCAACAATTGGATTAATGATCTGGTGATTCCACGTACTTTCATGAATCGGATCATTATCTTCACGTCTACGAGTAGTACTTCTAAATCGATATAACTGGATAAAAAATCATTTAACATAAATAATTATTTCATAATTCAAGACATAATGTATAAAACTGAAAAAACAATACATACAATCTATGTAATAGAGTTCGTATTGCACGAAACATGTCCTTTTCTTTTGAATTATCATAGGCTGTTTCTGGTATTCGAGCATTATCATCTTTTATTAAACCCTGTATATCTTGTTGGGATCTCTTCTAACTCTATTTTTTTGTTTACACTATCCCATAAACCTCGTTCAATAAGATGCGCCTTCAATTGTTCCGGAATATGACGGAAATCAATTATTCCGGACAGAAGAGGGTCATCTTCCGTTAAATCCATATAACATATGGTTTCACAAATATATTTTGCAACTCTGCTTATTTGACGATTTTTTAGCTGAAAAAGAAATGAAAAAATTAATTAAGTTAACAAACTTATAATTAGATAAAAAAAACTACTTACATTTCTAATAGAATTAATTGCGTCTTTTACATTTTTTTCACCCCAGTTATCTTGGCATAGTCTTCAATATGGTATTCATATTTATCGTTATATACATTAACAATTTCGAGAATATTCGAGGGAATGTCATCTTCTAAGGAGTTGTCGAGAACGTTTTGAAAGTCATCCCGAAATTGTGCAACTTTATTTTTCTATTTAATAAAATTATCAAAAAAAAACAAATAAAAAATGTTAATAGAATTTCAAGTACATACAATTATTACAATCAATAATATTATTATTATCAGAGTTTGTCTTTAAAGTAAAGTTCGCATTGTAGAAATGATTAGAAGTTCGAGAAACCATCAATCTTTCAAATACATTAAAACTACTACAGTCAGATCTCGATTTAGTGACTACGCAATTTAACGATCACTAATTAATATCTTGCAATAACGACATCATCACTCTTAAACCCTTTTCCATAAATATCAAGTTCAATTCAATGAATTGCTTGAAATAGCAACCAAGATCTGACTGTATATTTCGGTATAGATAGAGATGGTTAAAACTTTGAGGAACCATCACATGTTTGATAAATGAAATAAGGAGTATCTCTCAAACACATTAAACACTATTACATCTCAGTATAAAAATGATTAAAGATTTGAAGAACCACCACATTTTTATAAAAGAAACAAGAAAGAAAGGAGGTTTTCTCAAACACATTAAACACTATTACACCTCAGTATAAAAATGATTAAAGGTTTGAGAAACCACTGCATTTTTATAAAAAAGAAAGAAAAAGGGGGACTCTCAAACACAATAAACACTATTATACCTCAGTATAAAAATGATTAAAGCTTTGAGGAACCATCACATATTTGATAAATGAAATAAGAAGTATCTCTCAAACACATTAAATACTATTGCATCTCAGTATAAAAACAATTAAAGGTTTGAAGAACCACCACATTTTATAAAAAAAAAGAAAGGAGAATCGCTCAAACACATTAAACACTATTACACCTCAGTATAAAAATGATTAAAGGTTTGAGGAATCACTATATTTCTATAAAAGAAAGGAGTATCTCTCAAACACATTAAATACTATTACACCTCAGTATAAAAACGATTAAAGGTTTGAAGAACCACCACATTTTTATAAAAGAAACAAGAAAGAAAGAAGGTTTTCTCAAACACATCAAACACTATTACATCTCAGTATAAAAATGATTAAAGGTTTGAGTAACCACCACATTTTTATAAAAAAGGAGGATCTCTCAAACACATTAATTATTTTTATACCGAGGTGTAATAGTATTTAAAGGTTTGAAGAACCACCACATTTTATAAAAGAAAAAAAAAGAAAGAGATTTTCTCAAACGCATTAAACACTATTACATATCAGTATAAAAACGATTAAAGGTTTGAGGAACCACTGCGGTTTGATGAAGGAAGGAAGAAGTATTTGAAAAAAGAAGGTCTTGTCTAACCACTAAACATTACTACTGTGGTAAAGAAATTCTTTATCATCACAAATATTATTTTTATAGATATTTTCTTACCATACTTTCCGTTATTTTTTGATTTGCATTGATTGAGTAGAACTCGTGTATGTCTTTTTTAAAATCCACATCAGAAGCCAGATCTAGAATACTGGCATGTCCAAAGGCGAAAACATACAGTAAATAGATGAAGAATTTGTCGACTGCATATATATTTTTGAAGGAGTTCAACAAATTTTTTAATGACTCTTCGTTTCTTAATGTTAACATTTTGAAATACAATAGACACTGACCAATTTACAGAGCAGATTGAAAGACGCGATTGAATACATGTATAAATAAATATGTACGTATTGGCAATTTAATAAAGTGTGATTGATTAGTTGTGATCGACAATGATGTTATTGTTTATCATGCTAAATAGGATTTTGTGTCACAGAAAGAATTGGTATGTAAATTGGACAATCGCGCGAAAATAAAAGAATCAAGCAGATCTGATTCTGGTAAAGTCAATTTTGAGTGAAAGATTTACTAACGTTAATGTTGAATATTTTACAAAAGGAGTCCTGGTTGGACAGAAAAATTAACAAGTGGAGAAAGTTGTATTAAATTTATAAACGAGGTAAATATGAACCATTTCTAAAGTATGTTTTTTGTTTTCTAATACAAACAAATTTTTAAAGGGCAAATACGTATGATACCTTCAATTATTATCGTTATGGAATAATTAAAAGATGACGATCTTCGCAATTACGTACTGTAATGGCAAAATCATACGAATAAAAACAACGAATTCACTTGAATGCAGTTTACATCAGTCGAATCTTTACTATAAACTCAAGTTCACATTACTAATTCACATTAATTAAGAATTATATCGAATACAGTCAAACCTCGATTTAACGATGTGATGGAATAATTAGTAAAAGCACCGTGATATCGAGAATTCGTTATAACGAGGGAAATTTTATTATAACGATAAGTATTCTTGGATTGTCATCGCTACATGTATATTGAGGTTGTTATTATAACGAAGCATTATCAAGGTTTGACTGTATTTAGGTTTTATAAGTATCAACTTATTTGTTCCAATGAAAGTAAAATTACAACTTCATTTTTTTGTATCAGTAAACCAATATTATAGATATTCATGTTGAATCAGTTTCAAGCTGAAGGTAAAATTACGACTATTTATTAAATTTCAATTCATTGCAATTTTTTCAAATAATTCAAAACACATTAGAAAATGCACCCATTGCCAAGAAATGGTGACTGCAGTGGATGATTATATTTTTTTATATCAACCTTCTAAAGCTGAATGGTCTAATAAAAATAAGAAGTTGACAACCTAATAAAAGAATTTTCAAAAATCAGAAGGCATTTTAGATGGACCCATTTCGAAAAATTTACTAGTGTTGAAATTACCCTCTAAACCACCTCCCCTAGGCTTTTTGCTTCCTGGCTCACCAAGAAGACAAATTACAGCACTACCCTGAATATCTCAGAACAAATTATAAAGTATCGTTGTACTATTACAATCGTAAACAAATGAATTTAAAAAAGGTGATTTCAAAATAGATTCGGAGTGCTCTAAAGTGCACTGGTAAAGAAATAAGATATTATGAAATAACTAAAAAAACTAACTACAAATAAATATTCAATAGTAAAGTCTTCTTTGCAAATACAGTTCAGTATATCGATATTAATTTCAAATGTGAAAATTTAACTTGAAAAGCAAAAGTAAAATATTTAATTTATATTGTTAATGGACTGAATATAATCACGACGATGAATTGTGTATCGTGACTTTCACTCTGGAAATATCGAGTTTTCTTTCAATTACCAATTTTGAACTTACCAGCTTAACCGATATAAAAAATCCAATAAAGAAATTTGCAGAGTTCTTCCTTATATTAGTCAGACACTATACGTATTTATAGGATTTGATGATTACGTCACAGATTGACATCCATAAAGAAGAACGACCTAAGATACCAAACACTGTGCGATTTATTATTAAAAAAATGTCGGGATCTTATTCTGGAAATAGACCAAGTACTGAGGAACTTCCACAATTTATCAGCTCTATTTGCGCTCCAGATGAGGTGGAAAATTATTAAGTGTCTAAGCAGAGATTAGAAAAACTTGACGAGAAAAGAAATCGTAAAAAGCATTCTTACAAATACAAACAAAAAACAACAAATCTACTCAATTCCAAATGATACCGGTACTTTCTACGTACGTATTTCAAAATATAAATTTCACATTAATTAAATTATATTTTTGCACTAACCCTAACCCTAATCCTAACCTTTAAATTAACCTTTAACAATAACCTTTATTACCGTAGAATTTTTCCGGACATACACAA